TGTAGTGAAAGTTATACCAATTTGGAGTATGATAGTTTCTAGAAAATTTCCTAGGACCAGTGATTGAATTCTAGCTTGTGGGTTCATGTGGTGGATCAAAATATGCATAGGCTCAAATGGAGGATTTTGCTCAGTAAGCGTTAAAGTTGACATTTTATTTAAAATAAATAGCCAAATTTGAATTTTTCAATACTAGAATTTAATTTATCAAAATTAAAAATATACATCTCTCGCGAAGGCTAAACATGAGTACAGAAGAAAAAATGATGTTAAAAAAGTAACATGATGAGAGATGATGCGAAATATTTTGAAACACGGATCATAATAAATATAATATTTGTGAGAAGTCTTATAGCCTATAAATGCATATTTAATATATTAAGCAGAGATTATAGTGTTCATGGGCTGATGGGTGAAAAAAACAAATACAACTAAATGTATGCATATCATGGTAGTTTGGATGCTTATGAAAGAGATGATAATAAGGGGAGTTAAATTTCAAGACAAAAGAGATAATCTACTAGTTAAATAGACTGTTGAGCTCAATACTTCAACCCAAATTTTAGGTGGAATGAAAGATTCTAGCAACAAGGTTAACATGATATAGAACTAAATACTTTTAAATGAATGAAATAAGAGTATTGCACGATTCCTTGATTAGAGCAATAAGGATGAAACTTTTAACAAATTAAAACGATAAGACAAAACAAGAGAAGGGCGCCTACGCTTAGGCTAAGCCACTTGCTAAACACTTGAAAAATCAAATAACTTAGAAATTAAACAACATGCTTAAGTAAATAGAATTCAACATCATCCCTAATTTAACAATAATATTAGAAGCAAATAAAATGCACTCAATCCCTACGTTTACTAAGCTCGGCAGAGTTTGGTGAGCAAGATCTTCACGTACTCTTCGACGGTGTTGTCGATGCGAGGGTTGACGCCGAAAAAGGTTGAGTGAAGGATGCAAACAAATCCTTGTTCATCATAGGCGAGACCGTAATCACGATCTGGATTGGCCATACATGGCCTTTGGAGGATGTGATGTTGAAGACGATCGTTGATGCTTCCCTTGAAGACTCTTCTTGAGATGGAGGTGATAGACTAGAGAAATCAAGAGGGAAAGGGAAAAGAGGTGGCCGGCCAATGATGAGAGCAAGGGTAAAGGTTTTGGTTTAGATTTTGGGAGAGGAGATGGAGGGAATTCTAATTCAACACTTCCTAATTAGCCTCTTGATTGAGACTAATTAAAAGAAAAGAGAGAGGGGCAGCTGGTAAGAGAGGGAAAGCTTGGGATTTATTTCCAAAATCAAGGATGGGATTTTGGAAAGTAGTCATGAGGTGGGGCTTTAGCAATTTTCGGCCAAGAGGGGATTTGGGGGTTTTGAATTATTTCCAAGAGTGTGGTTTGGTTTTAGGAAATAAATCCAAGGAGGGATTTAATAGGGGCCGGCGGCAATAATGGGAGGTAGGAGGATTTATGGCAAGTGTTTAAAGCTTCCATAAAATTTGGGAACTTTAATTAGGGAAGAGAAATTAAATCCCCTTTAATCAAATATTGATTTGAGGATGAGGTTTAAAACTTTCCTAAAATAGATTTTGTATTTTAGGAAAAATTTTGTATTTCAAATCACTTGGATTTGAATTCAAAATTTATTCCTATTTTTATTCAATCTAAATTAGGAAACAAGAAAAGAGAGGGGGGGGGAATTCAAAGGTGGCCAGCGGCTAGGGTGGGGGTGGCTGCCGGTTTTGGTGGTGGGGGGTGGTCGGTTGGGTGAAGTGGAGAGGGGTTCGGGGAGGGTGGAGGCTTGACCGTGGGTGGGGAAAGATAGTAGAGCCGGCGGTGGTGGTGGGAGGAGGAAGAGGAAGAGGAAGAGCTAGAAAGTAGAACCATGAACCCGACTCGTCTAGGTTGGTGGATGATACACAATTCTCCCTCTCCTAGAGATCTCACTCCGATTTCTCAAGTTCATAAGAACTCAAACAAAGAGAATAATTTTTTTTAATCAATCATTCATTAATTTGAAAAGAAGAACAATAGGGCTATAAATAGCCTCGTACAAAGACTAAAAAAATAAAAGGATGACAATGCCCCTAGGGCTTACATACGACCTCCCTTAATAAAAGGGTAAAACGGGAAATCAAGAAACACATAAATAATAAAAGCTATATAACATAATAAAGGAAAACAAATACATGAAATTTAGCATGAGAACCCCACAAATTAGAATTCATTAAATGACATAATAAAATTTAGAACCAAATCATTTGTGTCTTAGGTCTCCATTTTGATTTATTGTAGTAATTAAAATTCTTGATTTAATTTAAAAAGAAAAAAAAAAATTGATTTATTGTAGTACATGACAATGAGAGAACCTCATAAATGAAATGATGCAAGGAAAATAGTCGTCCAACTTTAGGACATTTCATGAGTATTTCATTTGTCAACTTATTTTGTATAATGCAAACATCAAAAGAAAATCAAATATCACAATTATTAGTAGAAAACTTGGAACATATGAGGACATCTTTTACGGAATTAATATCCCTAGTAACATTAATAGATGATTAGCTACCATTAATATGGTATGATATTATGAAAAAGATGTGAGGTGCCTAGTTGTATGACTAGAAGTATGATAATTCAGAAGCCATGATGAAGAAGATAGTGCATTGATGTCTTGTAGCCCTAATGCTGATAGGACTTTAATGATAATTTGCTGAACCTTTTTAGGAGTAAGACTTGCTTTATCTACTGTTGTTAAATAAACAACATGACCAATAATGACTGCTTGTTTAGCATTTGATGGTCAATTCTGAGGACGAGTAGAACATTCCTTAATAATATGCCCAGTCTTCTTACAATAATTGTAAAATTTCTTTGCACAACTGGCATCAAAATATTTGTAGACCATAGCCCTTGCAAGTGAAGCATTGTACTTGTTGCATATATTTTCCTATACATTTCTCGTGGGCTGCAAATGCAACTGTATTCTCCTGCACAACTTGTCACCATCTCTAAATGATATGTATTTACAGTAGGGACATTTTCTATTTTTAAAAGACTTCTTTCATAACATCATATATTTCTCCTAAAACAAATCAATCAGCCATCTATTAAATTGAGGGATTTTAGTTTCTTGCGTTTGGCAATTCACAACAAGACATCACATTTCCTTACCTGTATTCAATGATTTGAAACCATGCAATTTTTGCTGTTTTACAATTTTTGGTCCTCCCCGATGCACAATTTTTGATCACTGGGTGGCCACGTGTGATTGGAATCATTGCTATGCATGAAAATCTTAGAATCTTACTTGTAGTTTTGAATAGAATAAATAATCAAAATAGTCTCTAGGTATGTCTGATTTAGTCCTAGATTTTTTGTAATGTCCAATTTAGACCCTCAACTTATCAAATTCTAACACGCACGCGCGCACACACATAAATAAATAAATAAATAAAGAGAGAGAGAGAGAGAGAGAGAGAGAGAGAGAGAGAGAGAGAGAGAGAGTTAAGGGGAAATATTTTTAGTAACTAAAAATATTATAAGAAATAATTTGAAATGAGAGAATGCATGTGATGGTAAGAGTTTTTTCCTTGATTTTATGATGCAATCATAATTTCTGTATTTTCATTATCGAATATTGAACATTAGTTTTTTATTTAGTTTTATATTTTTTTTAGCTATCCAATGATGGGAAAGCATCCAATGATCATGGTAGGTTGTGCTTGGGCTTTGGTAGACCTTTGGTTTGCTAGCTTGATGGGTCCTTTGGGCTGCTGCTGGTTCTCGGGTTGGCTATTGGTTATCGGTTTGAGCTAAAAATGATGATAGGAGGTGGTGGTTTATTGGAGTTGAGCTTTATTTTTTTAATTTAGTTCATTTATTGAGGGATTTATTGAACTACCTAGCTCATTAATCTAAAAAGGTATGCTCTTAAATTTTGGATTCAATTGGAGTGGACTTGTCTCTTCTCCTCCCCTTTATCTTCTCACTTCCCTAAGCTGGGTGATTTCCTGTGTTTTGTCCCTTGGGTTTCCGTGGCTGGCTGTTCTTTTCCTGTGCTGGGTGGTTTTCCCGTGCCTTTGCCCCTTTGGTTCTTGCGGATGGCTGCTTGATTCTGCGGTTTTCTGCTTGGTTCCGTGAATCCCATTCTTTGTTCTGCTGTGCCATTTGGGATTTGTTGTTGTAGCTGTTGGCCTTTCATTTCCTAAAATCTAATTGGCTTATTTGGAGGTTTATGGCTATTTGGTTCCCCACTCTTGCCTATATATAGAAGATGATTTTTGAGGGGAAAGGTTGTTGAAAATTATTGAGCATTGTCTCTATAAAAACCTGAGGGTTTTCTTCTTCTTGGAAAAGATTGAGAGCTTTGTCCACTTCTTCTTCTCCTCTATTTCGTCTTGGGCTTCTTACCTCTTCTCTACGCAAGTTCCACTCCATTTGTATCCTTCTTCTTAAGCTTTGGAGGTGTTTGTTGGCTGATTTGGGAGCATTTGCTGGAGGAGTTTGGTTGGACGTTTGGACCTTTTTGCTGTGCTGGACCATCGGTTTGCTTCTCCTAATCACATACTTTACTTAACCTACATTTCGATGCATGTGAGGAAACCGTTATGTCTGTTGTTCTGAGGATAGCGACTTTTATTATTTCTGTTGTTTCTTTTGATCTTTCTTCTAGTTTTTATCCGTCGGTTTTTGTGCTAATAGATGATTGCTACTATTTGAATCGAGTTTGGTTATAGTTTTGCCCATTGTTCTCCTTGTTTGGCTTTTCTAACTAGTGTGCTTGCATCATTTTATTTTAAAGGCTTCTTCCCATCCATCACATCATTGATAATACATTTAGTATGAAAAAAATTAAAAAAAATTGTGAGAGCTTCAGCCCAAAATGAATCCCTTTCCTTAATATTCGTTATTTACTCATTTTTTTAATATAATGTAGTTTGAATGTTTGTGTGCATTTACATCTCACTTCTGCATTTCTCTCTGACAGGAAATGGATCACTTGAAGATGGCTGTTGCTAAAATTGATGCTCAGCATCCCAATGTTCTTCTGGTTGAGAAATCAGTGTCTCGTTATGCTCAAGATTATCTTCTTGCAAAGAACATTTCTCTTGTTTTGAATATTAAAAGGCCTCTTTTGGAACGCATATCTCGCTGTACTGGTGCTCAGATTGTCCCATCAATCGACCATCTGTCATCACTAAAGCTAGGTCATTGTGATTTGTTCCATGTGGATAGGTTTTTTGAAGACCATGGGAGTGCTTGTCAAAATGGAAACAAATTAACTAAGACACTGATGTTCTTTGAAGGATGCCCAAAGCCACTGGGCTGTACAGTAAGTTTTTCTTGTGCATCATATCCATGTTTCTTCAATCTCAGCCATAGACTTTTTTTGTTAAATACTACTACAATCGGCATAAAATGATGATTTAAAATATTTTCTTATGTTGAAATTTCACAAATCGGCGCATATCCTTGGCCAGTATGATTTTTAAATTTTGGTTCGTTAAGTCATTGAAAATGGATTAGATGAATTTGGATTGAACTTTCCACCATTATTATTTCCTTTGTATTGTTGAAAGACATTAAAAAATAACAGGTGCAAGCTTTGCTGTTTTCTTGGATCACATTCCATTCTGTTTTGCAAAAGCCTTACCAAATTTAAATCCAAGAGTTTTTAAGTGCTCCAACACTCCAGCTGTCTTTTATTTAGTTTAGGGCTTCTGTACGTGCTTGTTTGGAATTTGTCTGAAATTTTTTATCTTCGGAGTAACATATTCTTTAGTTTGGTTTTCAAGTTGTTGACATTTGAAAACATTAAAAATTTTCAAAACATATATGACATCTAAAGGGGAATACTGCATCTTTTATGCATTTGAACGATCAGTTTTTTGCTTGAGATGCAGTGTATGGTCAATTCATAATATAAGCTTTCTATCACCGGGAAAAAAGCATTCTGATGCAGGATGATGATGGTGGGATTACTACAACAACAACAACAACAACGAGCCTTTGTCCCACTACGTGGGGTCGGTTACATAAATCTTTTTTTCCATTGTGTCTTATTAAAAGTCAAATTCTCATTTAAATTTAATAAAGAAATATCATTTCTAATATTTTCTAACCAAGTCTTTTTAGGTCTACCTCTACCATTCTTAACATAAGTCAAATCTAATACCTCTACTTTCCTAACCGGGTCATTGGAAGGCTGTCGTTTTATGTGACCAAACCATTTAAGGCGACTCTATCTAATCTTATCTTCCACTGGAGCTACTCCAACCTTTTCACATATATGCTCATTTCAATCCTATCTCTAAGGGTAAAGCCACTCATCCACTTGAGCATCCTCATTTCTGCAACACTTAACTTAGTATGATGCTTCTCTTTTAATGGCCAACATTCGACACCATAAAGCATTGCAGGTCTGACCACCATCTTATAGAATTTCCCCTTTAGTTTGAGGGGGACTTTTCTATCACACAACAAGCCTGATGCATTTCTCCACTTTAACCATCCAACTTGAATTCTGCTAATAATATCCCCATCTATTTCACCATCATTCTGAACAATAGATCCAAGATATCTAAAATGTGCACTCTTATTAATGACTTGATCGCCCAAAATCACAATCCCCTCACTAGGTTTATTACTACTAAAATTACACTCCATATATTCAATTTTAGATCTACTCAAGCGAAAACCTTTAAACTCTAAGGTTGACCTCCATAATTCAAAGTTTACCTTAAACTCCCTCTCTAGTCTTGTGAACAAGAAGAATATCATTAGCAAAAAGCCTACATCAAGGTACATCCTCTTGCAAATGTCTAGTGAGAACATCCATGACTAAAGCAAAAAGATATGGGCTTAAGGCTGATCCTTGATGTAATCCAACCGATATAGGAAAATACTTGGTCAAACCACCTTGTGTTTGAATACATGTAATAGCTCTTGCATACATATCTTTAATGATTTGAATATAAGCGTTATTAACTCCTTTCTTTTCAAGAACTCTCCATAACACTTCTCTTGGGACTTTATCATATGCTTTCTCTAAATCAATAAATATCATATATAGATCCTTCTTATTCTCTCTATATTTCTCCATCAAACCTCTCAATAAATGTATGGCTTCCATAGTAGACCTACCCAACATGAATCCAAATTGATTTTGAGAAACATTAGTATCATGCCGCAACCTACGCTCCATAACTCACTCCCATAAATTTTAAAGTATGACACATTAACTTAATTCCTCTATAATTCGTACAATCTTGTGCATCACCTTTATTCTTAAAAATAGGAATTAACACACTCATTCTCCACTCATCTAACATTTTTTTATTCTTCAAAACAGTATTAAAAAGTTTAGTAAGCGAAGAAATTCCTTCATCTCCTAAGCAATGCTATTTGAATATTATCAGGTCCAACAACTTTTCCACAATTCATTTTCTTTAAAGCCTCTCTAACTTCGATTTTACTAATATGCCGTTAAAAACAAAAATCTTTATCAATCTAATCAGCACAAATGAATTTCAAATAATCAATGGATAGTCTGGGCCCGACCCCTCCTGATGGCTTGTATGGGCCTGATTCTTAATAATCTAGGCCTGAGTGCAATTTAACCTCTCCTGGGCCAAGCCTAATCATGACATATACTAGCAATTGAGCCTCTCCTGGGGCGAATGGGTTGTAAAATATTTGTGCTTTTTTACCTGTTGCATGTGGAGTTGGGATTGCCCATTCAAAAATGGGATTAGTGGTTTTTCTTTGTCATTGATAATAGAGGATATATGGCTATAAGCAGAGGGAATGATAAGTGTGTCTAAAGATAATTGGTGATAAGCTTTTTTAGAGTTTTATTCTTCAAGAACATACAAAATATGAGCATGCGGCATCTGTTATGTGGCATGGTAATAGTGATGAGCAGCTTAAGAGAACAGTGAACATTGATATTACAGGATAGAGCCAAAGAAATATGTCCGCACAGATGGCCCAGAAGTGGAGACTAAGGGGTTGTTGGTTTGGTTAAAACTTGATATAAAATAAACTATTTGCATGTGAAGTAATTTTTTATGTTTGGATTGAAGTGAATTGGGTGAAGTAAACATTGTTCGTTTTCTTCTCAATTGCTGAAAAGTAAATGCAATCGATTTGGCTGAATTTAGTTTGTAGGTATTTACTTTTTATGCATTCATTTTTCTCCGAACAAAACCTCCCCTATGTCTTAATGCATCTGTTTTGAGAAAGTTTGTTAAATTAAAAGTTTGATTTGTGTGGGAAATATGAAATAGAAATTCCATTCACATGAGCACCTGTCCACAGCTTTCATTATCATGAAAAGTTCATTTGCCAAATAGTCATTATGATGTAAAACGTAAATGCCATTTACTTGCCTAGGTGGCAAGATTAATTAAATCCCAAATCAATTTGGGGAGAGAGAATGGAAATCTGAAATTAAATTTCAGATGAAGTGGAATTGGCGGGATGAATTTGAATTTAAATTCAAATTTAACGGGGAGAATTAAATTGGATGAGAGGGAATTGTGGGAGTTAATTATGGAGGCTTAATGAGGGGGGCTATTAATGAGATAGGAGAGAGCTTATGCCCAATGAGGGGGCCGGCCACATAGAGAGAGGGAGGAGATTATTTGTCATAAGTAGAGTGGGGCCACATTACTAATCAAAGATTTAATAAAATCTGAATTAAAATTCAGATTTTGAAAGAAAGGAAAGTTTTCAATAATGGGGCTATCAATTATAATTAATTTGAAATTCAAATTCAAATTGACATCCAATTAATATGAAAGCCTTAAATTAAGGAACTATTTTAGGAAAGTCTTCAATGCCTCTTGGTAAATTAATGACTGAAGTTTTTTTTTTGGTTAGAATTTTAGTTTCTAAATGCCTTTTTTTAATCTTTTTTTTTTTAATTTTTTAAAATGTTAGTTTCCTTCCTTTCTCCAAATGAAGAACAAGGCAGCATTATTAGATAACTATACCTCTTCATTACCCTACCTCTATAAGGTCACCTTACAAGCATATTTGCTTAATACTTGAATATCCATTGTTTTGAATCTTTGATTTTGTTTGAGCCATAATTTATTTGTTTTGTTGGGGCGGTTTTGATAGTTTTGATAATTTTGATGTTCAATTTTGCATTCAGTTGCTACTCTAATTAAGAATGTTAAGAAGATAGGATATTAAAATGTATAGAAATATATACATACACTATGTATGTATGTTATAACGAAGAAACTAAACCAGGTGTTGGATAGTATATAATACGGCGAATGGAAACTTAGAATCTCCTATAAGGTTTAGTTGAAATATATTATTGTAAAAATGTGACTATTTATATATGGAATAATAGATGCTGAAGTTAGAGTCTCTAAGTTTTAGGGTGGAATAAGATGCAATTTGAAAGTATGTTTCAACCCACAAGACAATTGGACCTAATTTTAATAAATTGATGTGCTGCATTTATCCAAAATTGTGGCAATTGCCCACTGGTACGTCACTTCAGTTTGAAGACATTCAATTTCGCTTTTTCATCAAAGATTTGCTAATATTCAATCGCGACTCTCATCTCTGCTGATCCGCTCATGTGAACCATTTGGGTTTTCAACCGTTCTTAGCTCTGTTCTAAACCTCTTAGCTGCCTATGTTAACCCATGCTATCTCAATTGGGTTCTCCCTGCTCTCCTACTCTGCAAATTTTGGTTAATAGCAGTTCAGTATTGGGTGGAAGATGCTGGAAGTCAGTTGCAGTACTGGAGAATGTGGGAAATTAGTTTTCCTCTAATTTCAGTCTGCTCGTACCAAACTATTCAAAGGAGTTTCCAATTATGCTTGAATCCTGGCACAATATAGTATATTGTGTAAGAAGACTGTTTTTGCATGTGTAATTTGTTTTTGACATAAATGGTTGGTACTTGCATAACTCATGAGTCATATTAGTGATGAAAATATAGGTGGATTGGTGATAGGAATTTTTTTTAAGTATATATCTCATATCCCATATGGTTTCCTACTTCATGTGTCATTTTATACCGTGCTATATGAATAACGATAAAATGATAAAATGGTCCTTCGACTTTTTATGAATAATCAAAATGGTAATCAACTATATTAAAGGACTATTTTTTTCCCTCGTTTCTTTAAAAAGGAATAAAATTGTCTCACGGTAGGATTATTTTTGTTCCTCTTTAAAGAATTGAGGGATCAAAAAAATCCTTCAATATAGTCGTGAACTATTTTGATCTTTCATAAAGAGTCAATGGACCATTTTAATCCTTTTCTCTATGAATAACTTATGGCATTAATAACCTTAATTTTATGGAATTGCATCAATTAAATAAATTTGCTGGCCTCATATAGGAGCTTCTATACAAATATGGTAGCTGCGTCGCCTGAATGTACATGAGATGTGCATTGCTCAGTAGTATGTCTTATTTTAAGGATTGTGTGACAGCTTTTGTGTGTCTTGATAGAGTAACTAGAGTTTACAGGATGGATTAGCCTTCTCAAAAATGTCATTGAAAGTTGTCATGGAGCTGAACTGTCATTTTGTTAAAATTCTAGCCAGTAATTATAGTTTTATGTAGTCCAAATGGTACCCAAATTTTTAGTTTTAGAATATTTCAAGTTATAGGTGCCCTTGTGCTTCATATTACTTGATTTGATTGACCCAAAAAGCTGATGTGGTATCTTTTTCAAGGAGATAATGTCTACTGTCATAAGTTTCATGCATTCTATTATCATTTTATTCCTTTCTTGTTTCAGATTCTGCTCAAAGGTGCCAATGGGGATGAACTAAAGAAAGTTAAACACGTTATCCAATATGGAGTTTTTGCAGCGTATCATTTAGCTCTTGAAACCTCATTTTTAGCAGACGAAGGTGCCTCTTTACCAGAGCTTCCTTTGAAATCCCCTTTAACTGTTGCACTGCCTGATACACCATCCATTACAAATAAATCTATATCTACAATACCTGGTTTCACCTTGTCTTCTGGTGGTAATTCATACCATAGCGGTAATGTCCAGATTCTGAATCCTGCATCTAATCTCAGCCATCCATCAGTGGATATGAATGATTATCCTTTAGATAGAAGTGGCCAGTATGAGCAATTTTCAGAAAGACAAAAAGCAATGCCTGGTGACTCATCGCTACCATGGATATTATCAGGATTTCAGGATGTTTGTTATCAACCTTGGGGTGCAAAAGAGGAAAGCAAATTGGGTTTGGTTGATCATTTTGAGGCTAAAGCGTTGTCAAAAAATATGGAGACTGTGCATAGTCGCTATGGTTCTAAAATCAGTGGTCAAGGTAGTGCAGGCACTTCAGACTCATCCAACATTACGTCAAATCATACACAAGCAGACAGCAGAAAACTTTTTGGAGAACCAGGTACTATCAACTTGGTAGCTCCACATCTGGATAAAAATGACAGGGATGAGAATGTATTATCAAAGGAAGATTTTTCTCCTTCCTCTGATCACCAGAGCATTTTGGTTTCACTGTCAACCAGGTGCGCTTGGAAGGGCACTGTTTGTGAGCGTGCACATTTGTTTCGCATCAAATACTATGGCACCTTTGACAAGCCTTTAGGAAGATTTTTAAGAGACCATCTGTTTGACCAGGTTAGATTTCTCTTCTTATATTTGATACATCTAGTCTCTAACGGCTAAGCATCCAACTGACTACTGCTTCTGTCAGAGTTACCGATGTCGTTTCTGTGAGATGCCATCAGAAGCTCATGTCCATTGCTACACTCATCGTCAAGGAAGCTTAACAATATCTGTTAGAAAGCTTTCAGGGTTTCTTTTACCTGGTGAGCGTGACGGTAAAATTTGGATGTGGCACAGGTGCCTCTGCTGTCCTCGAATTAGTGGATTTCCTCCAGCTACTAAAAGAGTTGTGATGTCTGATGCTGCTTGGGGTTTGTCTTTTGGCAAGTTCTTAGAACTCAGCTTTTCAAATCATGCTGCTGCTAGTAGAGTGGCAAGCTGTGGTCATTCACTACACAGGGATTGCCTGCGCTTTTATGGGTACCTTCTTTATGCTTTATTTTCGTGTCAGCAGTCACTTTTATACTTTTCCCTTGTTTTCTGTGTGCATGCATGCTGCATGGATATCCCTCTGAGTCTGAATATGCGTATTTGTAATTTGAGCAGATTTGGAAGGATGGTTGCTTGTTTCCGCTATGCGCCAATCCATCTACATTCTGTTTTTCTACCACCTCCAAAACTTGATTTCAGCTTCCAGCAACACGATTGGATTAAAAAAGAAGCGAATGAGGTATTTTAGATAATTAATGAACGTTTTATAATAATTTTCTGGATTATTTAGACAGTGAGCTGATGATACTATTCTGATCACAGGTTGCTGACAAGGCTGAACATTTATTCCGGGATGTGATCAATGCTCTCTGTCAACTTGCTGAGAGGAGGCCAAACAAAGGGTCCCTTAGTGGTAATGATACAGACTGCAGACGCAGTATTGTTGATTTTGAAGGAATGCTGAAAAAGGAGAAGGCAGAATTTGAGGTCAGTGAGCAAAAATCCTCTTCTTTCAACTTTGCTGCCATCTTCGTCATCTTCTTGCTTCCACATTTTTAGTCAACTTCTCATTTTGCATTAAAGTTTTTTTCTTCAGGAATATTTTCATAAAGTGGCGAAAAATGGGGTGAGAAAGGGGGAGCCAGTGATGGATATTCTTGAGATAAATAAACTAAGGAAGCAGTTACTTTTCCTGGCATTTCTGTGGGATCAGCGTCTAATATTTGCTTCTGGTTCAGAGAACAGCAATCATGAAGTGGTTAGTGGTCTCATGACTAAGAGCAAGGACAAGATTAGTTCTATTGGAAAACTAGTTGATTTGAATATTGCTCCTAAACTATTTCGAGGCTCTACTAGTTTGGATTCAATAAAATATGATTCTGTTAAAGCGACTACAACTTTGCTCGACCATAATGAAGGATCTCTTGATAATACCAGTCAAACTGATGCAAGTCATCGATTAAGAGATTTTGATCAGGGCTCTATTCAAAGTAAAGAGTGCAAAATCCTTTCTTCTGCATGCATTACATCAAATAACAAATTTGATCCTCTTGATTCGAGTGTTCTTGCCGATAAGTTTCTTTCCGATGGGCAAATTCCTGCTATGGAAGATTTGTCAGGAAACTTACATGCGAAATGGACAGGTGAAAATAGATCTCAACTTTTTGAGGGTAGCTTGATGAAATCACCAAGTTTCGTAGGAGTGACTTCTTCAGTCACAGTCTCCGACAGTTCAGATGAACAGATGGGGACCGATGAAGTGCAGCCCAGTGAATTTTCAAACAGCTACAGTAGAGAAGGACATTCTAAAGATCTCTCAAACTGGATTAAATTGCCATTTCTGAATTTCTACAATCTGATGAATAAGAATTTGGGTAAATTTGATTCCCTTCGTGATTACAGTCCTGTTCATGTTTCTTCTTTTAGGGAATTGGAACACCAGGGTGGAGCTCGATTACTTCTTCCTAATGGAGTCAATGACACTGTCATTCTAATTTATGATGATGAACCAACCAGTATCATTTCCTATGCGCTTGCTTCAACTGATTACCATTTTCAGTTATCTGAGGCCTGCGAGAAAACAAAAGATGGAGCAGAATCTTCGACTCATTTGCCATTTTTTGATGTTGGAAATGTCCAAACTTTTAAGTTAGCAGATGATGTTTCTTCTGAATCTGTCAGAAATAGTTGGTCGACTGAATTCAATTCTTTGCCCAAGTCCGCAAGCAGAAGCTCCTTGATTGGTGATCCACTGGCATTTAGTAAAGCATTGCATACCAGAGTTTCTTTTTCAGATGATGGATCCCTTGGTAAAGTCAAATACACTGTAACGTGTTATTATGCAAAACATTTTGATAGTTTGAGGAAAACTTGCTGTCCATCTGAACTTGATTTCATAAGATCACTCAGCCGTTGCAAGAAATGGGTGGCACAAGGTGGCAAGAGTAATGTCTTTTTTGCAAAATCCTTGGATGACAGGTTTATAGTAAAGCAGGTTACAAAAACAGAACTGGAATCATTTATCAAATTTGCTCCAGAGTACTTCAAATATCTTTCAGAGTCGATTGCTACAGGAAGTCCAACTTGCTTGGCTAAGATTCTTGGAATCTATCAGGTAAGTCTGGGTTGAAAATGTTCGTTTATTCCCGGCATTATTAAATTATGCATTTTTATATTATCTGCTTGGATTTAGATGGTGAATTGTCATTGGAAAAATGGTTGTATTAGTATTTGAAACATGCAATTTGACATTTTGATGGTGCATGCGCGAGCTTATGCTGAAACATATACAATTTTATATGCAAAGTTTTGACACAGCACAGCCTTCACATGGTTCAAATTATTTTATATTCCGTGCATTCTAATACTTAGATTGAAAATGACTTTTGATTGGTGTTTCTTTTATATTAACTTAAAAACACACATGTTGAAAATACCAAATAGCTTAGTGTTTTCTTTGTTGGTTTCTATTTGTTTGCTCAAACTGGGAGGGGGGCGGCTAGGAGGGTAGAGGGAGTTGGAGTGGGTAGTTTTGGAATTTGCTCTTGTAATTGTTTGTTTGAAGTAGTTTTTTTATGCTAGGGTTCAGTTTATGGGTGTTATTTTGCTGAATAGGGAGTTTCTTTAGGTTTTGAGGGATCTGACTGACGGGTAGGGGTTTGGGAGAGCAGGATATTTCTATCCAATTGAAGATCCAATTGTATCATGCTGTTTTCTTTTCTAATTATTGCTATAAAAAATATTTTTGTGTGTTCGTCTTCCTGATTTTTCAATTTCTTCTCGCTGATTTTTGGAATCTACATCCACTTCCTATCAATACTCTTATATATTTTATGCAACTTATTTAGTCTTCAAGGATAAAGGAGAATGCTTTAATGATTAGATGACTTATTTAGGATAGTGGGAGATAGAAGGCTCTGAAATCCTCACATGAGTGTTTGTGTTAAGAATTTTGGTAATTTTTTGACGAGCATATTGGATTGTGGATAATGTACTTCCCAAAAAAAAAATCTTATTTTGTGTGTTTTTTAATCTTAGTTCAAGACTTTTCATTGGCATAAACTATCGTAATTGTTATTTACCACTTATTCTTGGTTCAAGATTTTTTGGCGGTGTTAATTATCACTTTCTATTGTCATAAAATCTAAATTTATTAAGGATATTGCAATGCTCTATTTCCAATATTATGTCTATTTAGTTTTTTCGTGCTTATCTATGTATTTTATGGAGTCATTGATGAATTCATATATATGACAAGACTCATTACATATTTTATTGCTTTGCTTCTCTTTTTTTTTGTTTTTGTTTTGTTAGTTTTATTTTTTGCTTTTTATTTTTTTAGATAAGGTTCATCAGACTAGGTTAACATGGTGAGTGCAGAGTGAGATGTGGTTTCCTTTTTCCGCTCTATAAGTCTTCAATTACTCTTCTCTGTCCCTTCTCGCATCTCTCTGTCTCTAACTTTGTTATCGAAGTGGTTTAATGAATGGTCCTCACTCACCAACTTCATCAATCTTCTATTTTGATCGTCCTTGTGTAATAGCTCTTGCCAGGTTTGCTAGTTACTTTACAATCAACAATAAAAATCATTTAGATTGTATTTAGGTCAACCAGGCCGATTATGAGAAGTCAGCAACATGAATAAACTGAATTTAACCAATCAAGTGGTTAAGCATTGCCAATTTCTAGATCAATTGAAAGAAGTCACCATCATTATGGCAAACTCATCGTCTAATCAACCAAGGATTAAGCATTATGAATAACTGATTTTTTTGTTTGACTCTAGAGGCCGACTAGGTAGATATGCTCAAATAGTTCAACAGTGCTATTCACCAACACTTGATTAAGGAAGGTGAAGTTGGCCAACAAAATTGCATAGACTCTCAAATATGTATTCAAGACAATTAAAAGTCATAGGTATCATATCTTTTTTTTTTTTTTTTTTATGGCAAGCTTTCATTAAGCTATAATTTGATAATTAATGTATTTTTTTTTTATAACATTTTTTGAAGCGTTATGCCTCTACCTCCACTTATAAATAGGTGAAAGAGAGGGCAAGCTTCGGACATAAATTGAGTGTTGAATGAGGTGATCATAATCCTCTTGAAAGAAATTGAAAAATCCAGAAGAATTTTTTAGGGTGGAAGTGCCAACTTGGGAGCTAGAAGCATACTAAGCATTGGAGGGATAATCAAATATAGCCTAACAACATTACGAGGGATGATTAGTGCGGTTGCAATGAGAGAAAGAAGAAAAAAGCTTTATCCTCATGGTCACAATTAACTATAGTTTGTTCATCATGACCACAACTACTGGGATGTCTTGTAATAAGGGTGGATTGGTTAGACACTTGCTGACATGGAGGCGCAAGCTTAATGACTCAAAAGAACTCCAGAGGGAGAAGTGACAATACTTAGATGGTAGAGTTGACTATCATTTAATTTCTCATTCTATTTTTTCCAAATAGTTGGATTTGTGGTAAAGGGCTTAATTTGGAGAAGCTCATCCCAATTTCCTTGTCCGATATTGCAGTATACTTTGAGAGGCAAATCATGTCGTTGAAGAAAAAATATCTTAGAATATGCGGTGAAGGCATACAAAATATTGTTTATCTAGAAGTAGATGGAGCAAATGAAGTCTCTCATTTTCTTTATGTTGTCCTGAAACATTGCAATCAATCCAATAAATGATTCAAGGATATTAATCAAATAATGATAATATAATCATATGCTTTTTATTTAGAAAAAATTGATGGTGTCTTTGTGAGTTGGTGGGGACACATCAAGATTTTGAAGTTGTTATGAGACCCGGTAAGCAAATGGAAAGCCCTTGACTATAATAGATAGATGGTACCCTTAAATTTAACGGTGATACTGATGTTGGAGGAGGATTTCATCTCAAGAAGAAGAGATAAAGAGGTCATGACGTTTTAATAAGATATGCTTAAAGATTATGTGAAATCATATCACAGAGATAAGGAAGGTTGAGAAGAGAAGATCTAAAATAGGAGAGACAGACAAATGAGACATAACGAGGTTAGGGTAGTTGCATGCATTGGCTAAAGCATTAGTTGGTGCTATTGCTAGTGGGGAAGATGAGAGAGGTCATAGGTAGGAGTGTAAATAAGTTGAGCTTGAGCAATCTCAAGTGTTGTTCGGCTCGAGTCGTGAAACAAACGAGCCAAGCTTTTTTGTTTGTGTTTGACTTGGTAACTTATTGAACTGAACATGAGTTCATGATATATATATAAAAGAAGGCTTTATTCTTGTTTTGCCTGATTAAATAAATGAGCTTATAAAAATTAATCAGACACGTGCTAATTATTGAGTTCAACACAATCAAACACAAAATATAACTTTTTTTTTGACAACCATAGTCATAGGCCAAGCAGGTGCATCTATGAGTAGAGCAGTATGCAGTGCAATAATGCTTGAGATTTGTAGATGTGACAAGAGGCAAATACCTGTTGCATGGGCACAACATGCGCAAGCAATGCAGTCTTGATTTTGATATTGAGCATGTGTGGGTGTGTAGCAACATGTGCGGGCAGTGTAGCAACAACCTGTGTTGACATTGTAGTAGCGAGTGAGTGAGTGTGCAATGTAAACACAAGTACATGCACCACGAGTGAGATAGTGACTAGGTATGATAATGAACATTGTGAGAATCGAGTGATAATGTGTAGTAAGAACTAAGTGATGATGTGCATGAGCAAGCGTGTATATGGGAGTTGTGATGACAAAGAGAGAGAAAAGGGGATGTCAGCTAAGGTTGGATTAACTTTACTCAATGTTTAAAATTGTGCAATTGGGTATTGAGTCATTTTTCTTTCGTGAGGCGAGGCGTAAGCCTCAAAATCAAAAAATTGTGTAAAGTAATAATATAGGTTAAAAGTGATTTTTTATATAATACTAAAATAATATGTTAAATAATGATATTAAATTTTTATTGAATTATGAAGTAACAAATTAACATATATATGAAACAAAAAATTGCACAAGGCGTAAAGCGGCAACTGATAAATTTCGTGAAATAGAATTGGAATACAAATATTACAAGAGTAAAATAATATAAAATATAGGAATTACATACAAGTATTCTATAATATCAAGTTCAACTCCAAATCTGTTCTTTCTCAATTCCTCACTCATCACATATAATTTTTAAAAAAATTGACATAATTGGCAAAAACTCAGAAATGATCTGCACTATCATTACTGAGAGGATCTTTATTTGAGTCGTTGTTAGAACAAATTGGTCTCTCCCATGTCTATCTTGTGGAGTTCAATGCCTCTTAATATGTTTCTTCATTTATTTTAATCATCTTTTTCTTTCATAAATATTTGTCATCAACATAAATATGAGAATAATACTCCAAAATATTTAGAGAAGGTGGTGGTGTGAGGCTTTCAAGTGATTTCTAGGGATGGCTATGATGGTTGTGGCTACAACAAAAACGGTGGGTTGAAGGTCGAGGTGGTTGAGATGAAATTGTTATGGCTTTGGGGTGCATGAAGGCATATTTGTTCAAAGCTTAAGTTTATGATTTAGGTCAGTTTTAATAAAAAAATATATATTAACCTTTCCTTGCAGTTGAGGAGCATCTTGATCTTGTTTTTATGGTAGCCGTGTATTTTCTTTTTAGTTTAACCTAAACCGTTAATTATAGTAACAAGGTCAAAGAACTACATTAATTTTGTCTATGATTGTACCTTGGTTGAACGTTAAAGGCAATTATAGTTTGTTTGTTATAAATAAATCTCTTGAAGTATCTAATCTTTTGGTGGTGTCTGTAATAGTGTTCGTGGTTTAATTTGTGCTGTTCCTTTAAAAATGTAATGTCTGCCTGCTTAACTCCTTAAATATATTTCATTTATTGAGGCCCGTGATTTGAATTTATTTTAATGATATGATCTACTTGGTTAACCCCCCAAAACGGGAGAAACTATTTTGTGTGGACGCCGAACGTAGTTTTATATTCGGATATCAATCAGAATGAGTCACGTCAGCGATACCGAGCCGCGGTACTGAGCAGTACTGAGGCCCGATACCGTGGTACCAGGTGGTACCGAGCCACGGGCTTAGATATCTGGACGGGATTCGGCTTCCGTATAGAATAATTTTTCCCAAAACCGTTACCTGAACTAATCATGAATTCATTCAACCTAGCTGAAAAATTTTCCAAGTCATCTTAGCTCCTTTTTTTGTATTCTCTGAAATTTTATTCGCTTATAAAACTGTTTATAGGTTATAGTTAAGCAAGTAAAAGGTGGAAAAGAATCGAGGATGGATGTACTTGTTATGGAGAACCTACTGTTTGGACGAAATATAACGAAGCTGTATGACCTAAAGGGATCTTCGCGATCACGCTACAATCCAGATTCTAACGGCAACAACAAAGTACTCCTAGATCAGAACTTAATTGAGGCAATGCCAACCTCCCCTATTTTTGTTGGAAATAAAGCAAAGAGGTTATTGGAAAGAGCTGTCTGGAATGATACATCTTTTCTTGCTGTAAGTTTTCCGTCTTTATTTTTTTCAATCTAATCAACAGTTTACATGTAATGCTTTGCCTGTTCTTATTTACATAAAGCTTTATAATACAACGACAACATCAACATCAAGCCTTTGTCCCACTACGTGGGGTCCGCTACATGAATTCTTTTTCTCCATTGTGTCATGTTAAAAGTCAAATTCTCATTTAAATCTAATAAAGAAAGATCATTTCTAATATTTTCTAACCAGTTCTTTTTAGGTCTACCGCTACCTTTCTTAACATAAGTCAAATCTAATACCTCAACTTTCCTAACCAGTTCATCAGAAGGCCTCCGTTTAATGTGGTCAAACCATCTAATGCGACTCTCTCTAATCTTATCTTCCACTGGAGCTACTCCAACCTTTTCACATATATGCTCATTTCATATCCTATCTCTAAGGGTAAAGTCACCCATCCACCTAAGCATCCTCATCTCTACAACACTTAACTTAGTATTATGCTTCTCTTTTAATGGCCAACATTCAACACCATAAAGCATTGCAGGCCTCACCACCATCTTATAGAATTTTCCCTTTAGTTTGAGAGAGACTTTTCTATCTCACAACAAACCCGATGCATTCTTCCACTTCAACCATCCAACTGGAATTCTGCCAATAATATTCCCATCTATTTGACCAACACTCTAAACAATAGATCCAAAATATCTAAAACGTGTACTCTTATTAATGACTTGATCGCCCAAAGTCACAATCCCCTCACTAGGTCTATTGCTACTAAAATTACACTCCATATATTCAGTTTTTTTAAAAAACTGCACAGTTTAATCTTCTATGATAATTATGATCATTCTCTTAATGCTATTGCAGTCCATTGACGTAATGGATTATTCTCTTCTGGTGGGGGTTGATGAAGACAACCATGAACTTATTCTGGGAATAATTGATTTCATGCGACAGTATACTTGGGACAAACACCTGGAAACATGGGTTAAAGCTTCAGGTATACTCGGTGGGCCCAAAAATGTCTCTCCTACTGTCATTTCACCAGAACAGTACAAGAAGCGCTTCAGGAAAGCCATGTCTGCTTATTTTCTTGTGGTACCAGATCAGTGGTCACCACCATCTATAATCACCAGCAAGTCGCATTCTGACCTCTCTGAAGCCAATCAGGTAAGTGCTTCCCTCGAATCATAAGTTGTTCTTTTGTATATTATTCTTTAATAAGTAGGGAAATTTCCCACCTGTCTTAATAGTTCATATTAGGAAAAACTGTATTTTGTGTACACAGCATCACTTGTTAAGAATATATCCAGTAATTATTTGATAAACAGACACTGTAAGCGTCTTATATGAAATCAGAGCTGTAGTGGGAAAACATGTGGCATTAGGCTGGTGTAGATTAGATGGCATTGGAAGCATAAAAGGGTTAGCTTGTCATGTAGAATGTGTAGTTCATGTAGAGGATTTGTTTCTGATGAAAGCTATTTTTTTTTTTTTTTCATTAGTTTCCTTTTTGCAAAAGTGATTATCAGTAGCAGTCAATGGATTCGATTGATTAAAAAATATTTATGAGTTAATTCAAATTGTTTGTTTGTTTGGAATGGGGAACTTTTTAGTTTTCTATTCCATCATATTTTGTGCTAGATTCTTATGCTTCCTGCTAGTTGAATTTGGAGGATTTTTTATAGGAAACATCCAATCAATTTTGGAAAAATAGTGAGAAAATTATTCCAAACTCTAATGAAAATAAGAAAAAATAATAGTTTATTATAATAATCAAATATACGGCAACACAATATGAAGATACAGTCAATCCTCAATTCGAGAGAATGTATCTCTCTCAAATCTCTAGATGCCGCTAGAGCCAAAAAAAAAGCTAAGCCTAAGAGATCTCAAATTTCAGCCAAATTCAAGATGCCATAACCCCAGAAAATCAAATTATTTAATACGTACAATTCAAAAAGAAATCACTAAACAATCCCTACTTTGAAATCTCTCTCCTAATTCCCTAAAAAATCCTTCCTAAATAGCTCACTCATGCCGGGGTGATCCGATCGTGCGTACAGGGGCAGAACTTCCGCCTGTTTCTTCCGTAAGCCGGTGCTGTATGGAATAGAAAACTTTTTTTTTTCTCGGAAACACATTTTTTCTCTGAAAAATTTTAATGCTAATTTAGATTTCGTTTGGAATAAATTTTTTTGGTGCTTTGTTCTTCAAATTTCAATTACAATTCCATATGCTACTTTTTTTTTTTTGGTTATTAAAAAAAATTGCGCTAGGAAGTAAATTCTACAGTATCTTTTGAAAAATTTTCAGCACATCAGATTTTCAACCATCTTCAAGAAAAAATTACAGCTGCCTCAAATGGACCCTCAATGATAGGTTATTATTGTTGTTGATGTTTAGCGAAGAAATCAATGTTTAAATTCACCTAAATTAACAAAAAAATCTCTTAGTAAACTATTTTGCCGAAGTTTGGGCAGTGCCAAACTTTGGTCATTGCACACGACAGCTTTGCCAGCTCATCTTTCATCCATTGTCCTCTTTATAGCCTTAGGGCATCTCCGACGGAGAACTTTATTTTTCACGGTAAAATACAGCAAAATTCCAACAAAATGTCGTGGTGCTGTTCCAGTCGAACTCCATTTTAAGTGCTTTTGCGAAGGTAACGATCATTCTCCCTTTCCTGCGTTTTTTCGGTTGAGAGAGCAAAATAGCGTATGTGAACAGTGCAATGTCAATATTGGCAGCGCACTGTTCACCTGCAAGTAAATGGCGGAAGATTTGGCATTCGGCTGGAGCGATCGAACAATGTCATACGCACATTTGGTGTTCGGTTGGAAATGCTCTTAGCCGGTTATTTTCCTACTAGGTTGACTGATCATTTGCTAACTATTTTGGATTTTGATTTTACAATAAATGTATTAGTATAATGAAAATTTAATCATATCCAAAAATCATTAAAACGAAAGACAAATTAAGACGATTAGTAAGGCAGAAAAAGTAATTTGTCTCTAAATACCAGTGCTTTGATCGCTGATTTCGTAATCATAGAATATAATAAAATAAAAAAAAAAGAATATTCCTAATAATAAATATATATTATTATGACCCCTAAATATATGGCAAAGATAACGCATCCAGTATACAGTATATGTTATTCGTATGGATCACTGGTCGGCCATAAAAACTACATAAATGCGATGGAAATACTTATCATTATCGTGAATGCAATCTAATGAACGCTAAACAATTATGCTTTATTTGGGAAAAATTTTTGCCATTATTTTTTGTTTTTTTTTAAATAAACTAAAAAATTGTTTTAAAAATAATGAAAATTGTCTCAAACAATGCCTAAATTTAAAGAATAGGCAACAAAAACTTCTGGTCGATGGTGAATTGATTCGACTAATTTTTAAGATTTTATTTGGGACAATTTTCTTACTGTTTTCTAAAATAATAATTTAATTAAAAAAAATTAAATTCTAAATTTTTTTTTTATTAAAAAGCTGTTTTATAAAACAGTAAATGTTGTGTTACTAACATAACTTTTTGGGTGGTTGTTCACTATTGCTATGAGCCTATGATCTCAAATCTTTGTTATTGCTTTGATTATAAAATATTAATCTAAGTTAAAATATCTTATAGATAAAATCATCATATATAGGATGTATGCATGCCGATCTCTTTGTACAATGCTCACCTATTTAGGCCCACATATAAGCCCAAAATGCAAGTGCACTAAAGGCCCAAATCATTCCAAATCCATGAAGAAGAGCAAGCAGCCTTGCTAATGGTGGAAAATAGGGATATGTGTTTATCTGAATAAAATTTAAAAATTAAATTGATTTGATTCAATTTTTAAAGTATTAAATATTAATTAACTTATTGATTGTAATTTTAATTATTAGTATGAGTACTTTTTTAAAAATCAAACAAATTGAAAATTTACTTTTTTTATAAATATTATACTAATAAATATTCTTAAACTATAAATAAATAGTAGAAAGATTAAAATGAATATTATTTATTTCAAGAGCAATAATTAGAAACTTTGTAATATATTGTAAATATCATTTGGCATTCTTCTTCATAATGCTAGAGCTTTTTTTGAGGTTTCATTGCCTCACTTTAGAGACTTGTCGTCATATTTATGTTTTGCTAAAAGTTTTTCTTATAAAAAATTTCTATAATGAGAAATAATTTTTTTATAATTAGATATTAGTGTAGAAGGTGTAAAAAATATTATTTAACTTTTTTAAATAAAAAACTATGATAATTACACTAATTTTAAGATAATTTTCTTACATCATAACAATACCATAACTACTTTGACAAATAGATACCAATCATCCTAAACAAATTTTAAGCCTGATTTGTCGAGCTTTTTACTGTTTTGCTTCACTATGAACCTAACGTAGAGACTAAGGCTTTGTTTGCGATAGCTTTCTTCCTATTTCATAAAGTTATTTTTTAGTACAAAAATTAAACTTGTTGTACTAGAAAGCCGCTTTAATAAGCAATAAGAAACCTGTCCTAAATAAAGCCTAAGAATTTGCTCGGAACGACTTTCTTACTACTTCAAATAATTTTTATAATACAATTTTTTAAAATTAAAATTTTGTACTTAAAAGTTGCTTTAGAAATCAATAAAAAATATATCTCAAATGAAGCCAAAATTTAAGAACACTTTTAGTAGGGATACTATAATATAATTAAGTATTATTATCATATATTTCATTTGAGATTATACCAATTATAAATAGGGTAAATATGAGGGACAAAACATCATTCTCTCCATTAATCTTTTAAGATTATAATTTCATTTAGAACATTTTACTTATTATTTTCTAAAGCAATTTTTTTTGTTTTTTTAAATATTAATTTTGTACTAAAATTTTTCTTTTAAAAAAAAATTCAGAAAGCTACCTGAAAAAAGACTATAACACCTACATTTTTATAATTTTCTCCTTTACATTTTAGCATTTTATTTAATTTCCATTTTCTATAAATATTTTTATAACAAATACTAAAATAAACTTAGTCATCACCCAATCATAAAACTCAATAGACATATATATACCCAAATCGAATCAGTACTAAACCCTAAAAAAACATAGAGAGAAAAATGACGAAGCATAAGTGGCTGAGAGACCAATTAGCCATGATGATGTTTGGTAAGACGGGAACATCCAGACTACAGCTTGTTTACAGCTAAGAAGAGGAAGTTGGGAAGCTGGCTTTCGAGCTTTTAAATAAGCTGCATGCGTTTGCGGTCTCCAACATCCCATCGTGTTTGATATATGATGGCGCACGCGCGCGCACTTGCACTTACACGCGCACGCCATTGGAATATCGATTCGATCCTCTCTGCTCCTTTCCAGATCTCCAACATCTCATCATTCGCCATTCCCCCTTTCTTCTTTCTTCTTTCCATATAATTCTAAGGATTTTTTTTCCACTTTCTTTTACCGTCTTTTAAAATGAATTATTTAAAAAAGTTAATAGATTAAAAAAATTTATTTAGATATAGATATATAATTTCATGATATTTTTATGTTTTATCTCATTATTTTTATAGCATATAATTATTAAAATAAAGGTCGCAAAACGATTCGAGCTCGAGTCACCCTTAGCTGGAATTTGAGTTGAGCTCAAGTCACTCAAGATCAAACTTTATCTTATGAGCTCGAGTCACTCAAGTTCAAGCTATATATATTATGATTCCCGTAATTATTATAATAAAATGATGAAAAATTAGAACTAATAATAAAGAATAACTAAATTTAAGAAAAAAACATATAATTTTTAAATAATTTAATGACTTTCTACTTAAAGTATTGAATATTATTATATTTTAAGTGATTTTTATATTAATTTCCTTTAAGCAAGTAGGCTGGCGAGCTAATGAGTAAAGTGTTGGCTCAAAGTTTAGCTCGTTATCTTATTAAGCTCGGGTCACGAGCTATTCATCGAGCTGAGCCCGAGTCAGCTTGACTCACATCCCTAATTGAAATATTATCTTTAATGTTATAAACTAATGATATTTAATTATTTAAAGTAATATTTAATTGTTAGTAGACAATAATACCAAGAAAAAAAAGGTATTTCGGGACTTCCTATCCACGTGCATCAATGATTGTTTAATAAAATAATTAATTACGTAATTATTTAAAAAAATTGGAAAATATTTTATGATAAATGTGATGCATATCTAAATAATATTACAACAATATAAAATAAATTAAAAATTAAAAATTTATTATTTAAATTATTATGTGATTCAGATATTTTAATAAAAAATTTCAAAAATAAATATAATAGTTATATTTCGAAAGTGTAGCATGAAAACAATTTCTAATTAAATTAATTTTTAAAAACTATTAATTTTATTTTAAGGTTTCTGTAATTCAAAATTAATTTATTATTGATATACCAATTTAAATATTTTTAAATTCTATCTAATTCAAAATGTTGAATAAAAATTTCTGACATAAGTTTTTTTCTTGATAGTAGGTGTGATATAGCGACTATGATATAACACATGTGTCTAGTGAATATAAAAATAATTATTTAAATTATTTAAAATTAAAATCAAAAGATAAAAATAATACAATAAAAAAATAAAAAAAGGATTAATCGTTTAAATTAAAAATATTTTTTTTTTTAAAAAAAAAAAAATCATTTACCTTACAATAAAAAACTACAATGCATGCGGTGGAGACCGACGCTTCACTGCTTCCCACCACTTCCTCTGCTTTTAACCAAAGCTCCGCCTTTTAAAAATGGCCTCCCTCGCTTCTTGTGAATTCTGAAGCGTGAACTGCAAAGCCCCCATTAAACTATTCAAAGCCACCTCCAATCAGAAAGGCTAAATCCCTCGTAGAACAACCAACCAACCCAACCAACCAACAGAGAACCACAATCCTTATCATCATCAGTCGTAGCCGCGCTCACGCCACAGAAACAAACCAGAGCAAAGCAACAGAGAAAACTCCAAAGCCTGCTTGGATTTCTTGGTCTCCGTGCAACTCTGTTCATCCTCCTTCCGTTCTTAAAAAAAAGACCCAACTTTGTTCAATCAATCGATAGAGAAAGATCAGAACAACCATGATCAGCTCCCTCGACTTCTACCATGTCATGACCGCCATGGTCCCTCTGTACGTAGCCATGTTCCTCGCCTACTCCTCCGTCAAATGGTGGAAGATCTTCACACCCGATCAATGCTCCGGCATCAACCGCTTCGTCGCCCTCTTCGCCGTCCCGCTCCTTTCCTTCCACTTCATCTCCTCCAACAATCCTTTCGCCATGAACCTCCGTTTCATCGCTGCTGACACCCTACAGAAACTGATAGTCCTCGCCGCCCTCACCTTCTGGGCCACCCTCAGCCGTCACGGCAGCCTCGAATGGACCATAACCTTCTTCTCTCTCTCTACCCTCCCCAACACCCTAGTTATGGGAATCCCCTTACTTAAAGGCATGTACGGCGACTTCTCCGGAAGTCTCATGGTGCAAGTCGTCGTCTTGCAATGTATTATTTGGTATACTCTGATGCTCTTCATGTTCGAGTACCGCGGAGCGAGGCTGCTGATTGCAGAGCAGTTTCCGGAGACCGCGGGATCGATTGTTTCGATTACGGTGGATTCGGATGTCATGTCGCTGGACGGAAAGGCGATTGAGGCAGAGACGGAGGTGAAGGAGGATGGGAAGATGCATGTCACGGTGAGGAGATCGAGCGCTTCGAGGTCGGATGTTTATTCGAGGAGGTCGGGACAGGGAATTGGAGTGGCGACACCGAGGCCGTCGAATTTGACGAATGCGGAGATTTATTCGTTGCAGTCGTCGAGGAATCCGACGCCGAGGGGATCAAGTTTTAATCATGCGGATTTTTATTCCATGGTGGGAAGAAGTTCGAATTTTGCGGCGGGGGATGGGTATGGTATCATGGGGACGGCGGCGGCGGCGGCGGCGGCGGTGAGGGGGCAGAGCACGCCGCGAGCGTCTAATTTTGAGGAGGATGGTGGTGGTGGGGGCGGCGGAAAGCCGCGGTTGTATTACCAGATGCCGGCAGCGGCGGCGGGGGCCGCGGCCGCGAAGAAGGACTTGCATATGTTTGTGTGGAGTTCGAGCGCCTCGCCGGTTTCTGAGGTTTTCGCCGGCGGTGCTGGGAAAGAAGTTAGGTTGGCCGTTTCTCCGCCCAAAGGTAAGCAGAGTTAACAAGGAGTGATTTTTATTGTCAGATTAGCTCAATAACTAATTCTTTGCTCTTGCATGATTTTAATGAGTATTGTTTATTTATTATTTTTTATTATTATTTTATTTATTTTTACATTTAGGTGATTTAAGACCAACTAAGGATGATAAGAATGAAATAAAATATTACATATCTATCACTTATATAACAAATATAGGCACATGAATAAAATATTAAAATTTATAGCGTGATAGGGATGATAAGAATGAAATATATGAGTGATATATTTGATATTAAAATTTTAAATGAGTGGTAGAAATGTAATATTAAAATTTTAGGTGTTAGATATATAAATAGGCTATTAAATAGTATGAAATTAAGCGTTATGTATGTAAATGCCCCAAATTTTAAATCCTATGCCTCTTTGTTGATGAGCAATTATTAGGTCCTTTCACTGGATGTAGAGGAAGGTTCGGTTTTAGCCAAAAATAGGTAAAAAGTGCAAATACCGAGTTTTTTGAAAAACTCGGTATTTTTTCAAAAAACTCGGTATTTGCACTTTTTTAGGCAAAACCGAACCTTCCTCTAGGTCCTTGCACCGGACCAAATAAAAACTCCACTGGATCAGATGAAGGAGATGACTGATAAGGAGATGCTTGCGAGAATAAAGGATGGAGCCGCCTTCAATAATCTCTGATCAATGGGCCCACCTCAAGCTGACTAATCTTCTATTAGGATAGGTAGCTTTGTTGGTGAGTAAGGGATTGATTAATATTAGCTGAAAGTAAACATTTTGCTTACGACTTCTTTGACAAAATAAAATTTAGAACATTTACAATGGTCCTAAATGAATATGTAATAAATAAATAAAAAAATAAATATAATGTATGAGCTTATTTCCTTATAGATCTCCTAATCTCTGTTTAAATGATGATGTTAGCAATTTATTATATATAGTTAGTCGTATTTTTAAAATATTTAGCGTCTATTTTATATCTTTTTGTGCACCATTCTTAACTAGATAATTGGGAAAGTCGGTTGAAGCTGTGTTAGGTGACAGCTATTATGATATTAGCTATATAGATATTTGGATTTAGGCTTCATTTGAGGAGTAATTATTGTGTGCGGATACAGAACGCGTCCAGAGACCAATAACAAAGTGTCACGTCACTTGGGGGCTCGGTACCGTGCTCGGTACAACACTCGGTATCGCTCGGTATTTGTTCAGATTTTCGATAATTTATCCGTACATAATAATTTTTCTGGTTTGTGACTGATTTTTTATTGTTTTCTAAAACTGCTTTTTAGTACAAAAATATCTTGAACGGATAATTTTTGTACTAGAAATCTACTTTAAGAAATAGTAAGTAAATCGCCTCAAATGAAGTCATAGGCTTCGTTTGGGAAGGTTTTTTTATTGCTTTTTTAAAACAGCTTTTTAATATTTTTTTTAAAATTTTTGTACTAAAACGTCGTTTTAAAAAGCACTAAGAAAGCCGTCCGAAACAAAAACTTAATTATGTAGACTTTCAATTGAATATATTTAAATGATATTGAGCTTTATCTTCATCTCTTGTTGAGTGAAGGGAGATTATTAGTTCGCTTTCATGAAGATTATATATGTTTATATTTTTAATGTAAATATAGTTGGTGACTTAGCCCATGTTATTTTAAAGAAGTGAAAATATTAATCTGACTATGTGATTGTTGACTATGAGATAAGGCGAGTTGTATGAGGTTTGTACTTGTTTTACTTTAGGTGTAGTATACTGAAATGTTATGTGGGTTGATGAGATTTATCATATTTATGCAGATTATATAATTCACATCAATATATAAAAATATCAAAAATAAAAATACATGGTTAAAAAGAAAAAAAACTTGACCTAACATTTTTTGTGATAGTTATTATATTGATTGTATGTAAATGTCATAATATTTGATTATTTTATTACATATTTTACTATAAATATCTTCATTATTTTTAAATTAATCTATAAATTGAATTTGATTATGATAAAAAATATCATGGCCGCCGACCGCCGCCTGGCCTAAGACTACCGCAAAACTTCAACACGACCTTCGTTGGACCACCGTCGTGCCGCCGACCGATGCCAGATATTCGCTCGGCCGACGACTGCCACCCGGCCGAAGACCACCGCCGGACTTCCACTCGAACATCACCAGACCTTTGACTAGCTCTTCAAATTACTGTAATTTGACCACCTCTAAATCGAGGGACGGATTAACCCTTGTAATTCACTCAATTTTAGTGGAATCTTTTTATTAGGGCGAGGCCCCGTGGTTTTTCCCTCTTCGGGCTTTTCACGTAAAAAAGATCGGGTGTTTTATTTCTCTATTTCTGTTTGTGTACTGGATATCCGTGCATCGCTAAGACCAAAAGTTTACTCACTCTACCACCACGAATCTTCCAAGCCGCAACAATACTAAAATATTATTTTTGAAAATAGAAAAAAGCTGTCATAATTCATAAACAAAATATTAGGGAGGTTGTATGTTGGAGAAAGTATTATGTGTTGAGTCCGAATGTATTTTTACGTCTAAACTTTCAGGTAAACGAAGTCACATTCATTTTTTTTGGAATGATTCGATGATTTGATCAAGCCCAAAGTGTGCATACATTCTCCTTGTACATACTCTTTGTGCAAGTTTTACACAGTGTGTATAAGTGGATTGGGTTATCAAATCACCCTAAAACTATGTGTCATCATTTTATTAGAATCAAATTTTGCACGTAATAATTTTTATGTATATTTAGACGTAAAGATTGGACGAAGAGAAAGAAGATTTCACGTCAATATTAAAATATGGAAAAAGAAAGAGTCCTCTCTAAGTGTATTATTCTATTCTGCAACTCTCTCTCTCTCTCTGGCTTTTGAGTTGGAATTTGAATTGACGATGTCTAATATCTAAAGTGATAGAATTGATAGGAGTCAGTAATTAGATCAGAATCAGAGCCTTTGGTTATTATATTATATTATATTAATACACCATCGATCTATCTATTCTATATATAGGCATAGATAATGAAAGCTTTTAGAGAATGTTCTTTGTATCACATGGGTGGCTAATCTGATAATCATAGCCATTACCTTTAACTAATTAGGTAATTCCACACTAATCAAAGAGCTTAATCATAGATTGGTTGTAGGAGCACCAAATGGCCCGATTGATCAGAACATTCAACCTTCAACATTTATTTATTAATTGATCATTAATATTTTATTAACAACCTAAACTTTCCAATATTTAATTTTTATCATCATTAAAGATTTTTAACTTTTCTTAACTCATGATGTTCTAGTCTCTTTCTTTGAAATAGAAATTTTAAAGAAACAAAAGAGAAATACAAATGCCTAATGTTTCGATTAATTATTTTGTGTGGACACCGAATTCCGTCCGGAGATCAATCAGAATGCGCTACGTTACTCCTTCGCTTGGTACTACGGCTCAGTACTACTCGGTACTGCTGACGTGGTGCAATCTAATTGGTCTTCGGACAACGTTCTGTGTCTAATCTCTGCACATAATAACTTCTCATTTGAGCAAATTTTATAAAGTATTGTAATTACTCAAATCATCGGTTAATGATAATTATTCTCATTAATAAGTTATAATTAATGACTTTATATTGCAATGAGGATGATTTAGGATTTAATCATATTGCAAACTAAAATTATGAATCTTATTTTAGTTAATTTATTTTAGTTTAATAATTTTTTTTAAATGAACTATGAATAATATTCTAGGTTTTATTGATCCAAAAATTTTTTTGAAAAGAAGATGCAATTACAAAATTTTTTAGCTATCATCATCGTTTTAAAAAACAATATGGCTAATTATTAATTATATTATTGCACATATTTTTTAAAAGATGAGTAAAAATGCATTTAAATCATATTCTTCAAGAATGAAATTCTTAATGATGCAAGTTAAAGTTTTAATTTGCAACCACAATGAATGTTTAGCTAGCCTCTTTAAAAATACCAATTTTTAGTAAAAGTGTGACTACAACATTAAAAAATAAACTTATGAATAATATATTCATAAAAAGATAAGCGAAGATGACTGATTATCAGCACTAGCTAATTTCCTTGAATAGAATATTTAAAATTAGGAGTTAGGTATTAGGAGGTGATGATAATGGTTGTTCTCCTTTTTGGGTAGAAGATTGGGTAATTAGGACTAATGAAGGCTTCGTTTGGGACAATTTTCTTATTGTTTTCTAAAATTACTTTCTAGTACAAAAATTTTCTAATTCAAAATTTTTGTGTGCTAAAAAGCTATTTTAGAAAACAGAAAAATAGCTATCCGAAACGAAGCCGAAGTAGAATCATGAATGAGCATATTTCGTATAATAATACCCCCTGATCATATGTAGGAATATGATTTATTTAGAAAATTTTGGGTAAAATTTTATCATTTATGTTGAACTCTTACAATACAATTAAGCAATATGAATATATTTGTTCGTCTTCTTCTTGGAGACGGCCGAGTTCGTGGTTCTTCTTCTTCTTCAACTATTTTCCCTTTCCCTTCTTCACCTAATCGCCGGCATAAAAGCCCTCCACGTCTTAAGCCACCGGCCACTTAATCCCCCACCACCTCCCATCGGCTTCATCCCCTCTCCACCCCAACCGAGCCACCCTCTCTTTCCCCCACCACCATCCACGACCACCACACAAGCCTTTGATAAATCCTTATTTAACTCCGACCCCCACTATATAAATCCTTATTTAACTCCATCTATTTTTGGAAGAGGTTTGAATTTGAAATGATTCAAATTAAAATCGCAAATCCTTCCTATTTCATAAATATTATTTTTGGAAAGGCCATTAAATAAATCAATTAATCCAAATCTCAATTGATTGAGTAATTAATACCTAAACTCCAAATACATTGAATCTAGACACATACTCCCTCCCTCTCTCTTGTCTGAACCTTCCCCTTGCTCACCTCATTATTTCTTTCCCATAAAATGAGCACCTTACTTTGGAAATAATTGCAAACCTAGCCCTAGCCTA